GGCCAGTGTGCATAGAGCCCTATGGTGCAGTGCACCACAGCCTGCCCTCCCCATGGGTAGGGTGCATAGAGCCCTATGGTGCAGTGCACCATCTTCCTCATGGCAATCCCCACCCTCACCATGGCTATGGTGCAGAAAGCCCTATGCTGCAGTGCACCATTGTACTCACCCTCATCACAGACACGGCTCAGAGAGACCCAGTTGTTTTTCTTGTCCCCCCAGACCTAAGTAGTAAAGTGCAGTTTGTCTTTTGCAGACTTTTTGAGACCCTCCAGTCGCTCTTCTGGTCCGTGTTTGGTCTGTTGAATCTCTACGTCACCAACGTGAAGGCTAGGCATGAGTTCACGGAGTTTGTCGGGGCCACCATGTTCGGAACGTACAATGTCATCTCCCTGGTCGTGCTGCTGAACATGCTCATAGCCATGATGAACAACTCCTACCAGCTCATTGCTGTAAGTTGTCCCTCCATCTTCCGTTCTGATTTTTTCTGCAAGCTCTATCTGCTTTACATGCAGCATTTGTGTCCCATGGTTTCTTCCAGGATGGTTGGGGCTATTTCCTCAACAACTCCACAGCCGGTGTGGTGGAGTTTCCAGTCACTAGACTGTGCTCATGGATGATGCTTTGCTAGACTGTAATGCTTCTTGAATGTAGAGGTTATCAGCTATTAACTGTCCTATCTTTTCTTAAACTCTGCCATCAGGAGTATTAATCACCTTGCCATTAACAGCTTACTTACTTACCTTAGAGCACACAGGAAACCCAATGCAACTGGGTGGTTTTATTTGAAAGGGTTTGTTTTTTTCCCCGCTTTTTGTTTCATTTTTAAATGTTTTCTGGTGTCTTTTCTACTCAGTCCTATCATTTATTATCCAAACCCTCTTTCCTCATACGTGCAACGAGCCACCTCTGTAACTTTTGATTCCAAAATGGACCAACTGAAATCAGTTAATTCTCAACTGAACTGCAAACCAATCCTGTAATTGCCTAATCCTGCAATGCTGAAATCACTGAGTCTAGGATAACGCCCATGCAGAACGCAGGATCTGAGCTCAGTTATGTCTGGCATTGTGGGTCCACTTTCAAACTCGACCAACTCTGCATTTGAGTGTTCAAATTGGTCTTTAAAACCATATCCTCATTTGAAGGACTGAAGGGCCCATTTGAACACCCAAAGGCAGAACTGGGGACACATTGTCAATGTTATGAAAACTGGACTCTGAATGACATTTGATATTTGAGCAGGAGGAGTTAGGCACTGCAGGTTGAGAGGAAAAAGAACGCCTCAGTCTGTGATCCTGGGAAGGCATCATTCTATATTTTATTAAGGCCCTTAAGTAAATAAGCCTGAAGGGAGCCTAAACCTTGTGTACACAGTGTTTAAAGTAGGTTAGATTCGGGGGGGAGGGTGTGTGTGACAATTTTGGCTGCTGTCATCATGGAGTTTGACATTATGGGGTGATGCAGTTGGATCATCTGGGAACGGGAACAAAAGTCAAAAAGTATCTGAAATGAAAGAAATGTTTGCCCCCAAGCTGGCCAGTGACACAGAGGTCTGACACATCTCTTGCTGGGCTTCCCACCCTCCTTTCTATCAATGCCATTATTTACTCTGGACGAGGATGAAGAGAAAAAGGAAATTCACCTCAGCTTCTGCTGCTCCCACATCAGACTCCCCTGGCTGGTGAGTTCTCACCTTGCCAGCCAGAGGAGGGAAGGTGTATGGGAGCAGTGCTTCCCCAAAACAGGGCAAGGAGAGGGAGCTCTCACTATACTTTAATCCCTGCCTGTATACAAAGGAGCGTCTGGACCTTGTTTGTCTGCTTGATTCTTCCTGTTCCAAACTCAACGGCAGCTTCATGCCAATCCCAACTAGCTAGCTAAGTTGAAAACAGCCTCTAGCCACCAGGGCAGAACTACATTGCTCTAGGGATGTAACTCACATTAAAGCCCATGGAAAGACTCGGGCCCTTAATCTTGCCAGCCACTTGGAAAATAGATCACTACAAAGGCATAAATGTTTTCAGCGTGTGTCAGTGCTTTCAGTGCTCTCTCAACAGCGCTGACCCTTCAGATTCTGGGGGGCGATATGGGGAACCCAGACTGCCTCATTGACATGCTTTTCCAGTCCTCTTCCTTACCTGGCTTCAGATAGGCTTGTAGATGACACAAAGCCAAAACCAAAGATTGTCATGAGAACCGTGGTATTTACTATTCACTGTTGTTATTTCCTATTCATTATTCTCCTGTTTAAATGTAAGCGGGGGAATGGTCCCGCTATTGTGGGGAACTTTCCTGGCTTCTGCACTACCCCAGTGAAGTGGGCTAGCGAAACGATCTGAGTCCTCGCTCCCACTCCCTTTACCCAGAGGCCTCCCTGCCCTTGAGGGCTCCCTTCCACTCTCCTGTCTGGCAGAGTCCTCGTAAACCCCAACAAGGCTGGGCCCAGGATTCCTGGGGGGCTCAACCCCCAACCCTGCTGTGGTCACCTAGGACAGGGGCTAGGGTGTCCCCACTCCGGGGTACCCTCTCTGCACTGGGCACCTCCCTGACCCACTGATTATTCCATACAATTTAAAGCAAATACAAGTTGTTTAATTAACAATTAATCTAAATAAAAGAACAAGGAAAAATGGGAAAGGAATACATCTGTGAGATACACAAGAAAGATAATCTCACA